AGAATTATAAAATATAGCAAATTTTTAATAATATGCAAAGATAGAGTTGTAGAAAATTTTATCTTGTATGAACAGGCGTGAATACATGTTCATACTAACAGTAGTATATTTCTTGGCTTAATTAGTACATTAAGAGCCTTTTGCAAATTAACAAAACATATTGGGCCTTATGATCAAGCTTCATATATGCATCTCTGAGATAAAATTGCAAATAATATGTATGATTGCTGAATCTTCATTATCTTCTTTCCCTTGACATCATCCTTTTTATTCTTTTTTGATAATGAAAATACTATAAAAAACGTCCATGATATAAAAATGGGCAAGTTAAAAAAAAAGTTACTAATATTAACAAGGCAAATTTGTTATATAAACCTTGGATAGACCTGATAATATAAAAATCATGAGACCTCAATTAGAAGTTTCCGAGTCCATCACCATTATATGCTTTACGTACTTATTTTCAAAAATCAATTTTTAGATTATAGCTCCTTCCCTATATATGATATATCCAGGAGCCTCAGGGTCAAGGTTGATCACTACATGAATAGTACATTTATGGACATTTCTGTTTATTTTATTTTTTAAATTTAAAGAATACAGTTTAAAAAAAAGTTTCTCTAAAACATTTAAATATTTAAAATCTAATAAAAATAAAGATAAAAAACTATACAAAATAATTATCTATAACAATAATACAATTAATTTACCAACATATAAATATACTATAGAATACATTATTAGCTTTCACTTTCCATTAAATTTTGTTCACATTTAGAATATGCAACACCTTTTTGCCCAGATGATACTAAAATCTTTAATGGCATACAAGAACACACAGGAACATGTTCTTCAGTAACTACACGTATCACATCAATTCCACCTGTTAATACTGCAACCCTTGGAAATTTGGCATGAACTAATTCATCAGCAAACTTTAAACAAAGAAATATATGAAAATGTGAATAATTTGAAAAAACAAATTTTTATTTAATAATAATAGAACTAACCCGAGGACCAGATTCGCCCCTATTTGCCAAAACTACATGATATTTCTTTTTCTCTTGAAATAGTGCATCTGTAACTTGGTCAAGATATGATGTATTAAAATTTACTGATAATGGAAAGTGACCCCCTACAAAGCTATCAAAATACATAAATAGTTATCAACATTAAATATTAATGATAAGATATATAAATATGATATTTATTAAACATTACTCTTGTTCAGATCTTATATCAATGACCAAAACATAATTTTTTAATTTAGCCAAATCTTTTAATGATATCCTAGGAGCCAATTCAGTTTTCTTCACATCAACAGGTATAGGTTGTTCCCACCAACGTTGTGTTGGGTAATCCTCCTTTTAATTATTGAAAATAGTGATAACAGCAAAATAATAATGTTATTAATTATTTTTATTATTGTTGCTGTTGTTATTATTATATTTTTATTACTTACATCATCATTTAATGTACCAATTGTTGCATTTGGTTTATGTACTTGATAGATTACAGAGGGTGGTGTAACTTTACACATTGAAAGAGCTGATTGAATGCATTTTTCTATGTCAACATCCGGAAATGTTTCAGCAAATTGTAGGCATTCATTAAAATCAGATTTAAGCAAATCATCTCGAAGTTGTCGTACTATGGAGATACCAGCAAACAATGATAATGAAGGAGGCCCAACAAGTAATTTATCCCAAAGATGATATGTTTTTTCTAATGGTAAAACATCTAATATATAATATTTGAAGGAGGGTTGAAAATTTTTAATAGAATGAAGAAAATAATATAAAATCATAATAGTGGAAATATATATTACGTGTAAATAAAGTTAAGAACCAAGGAATAGCATATAAATCCGGAATATAACCTGTTTCTCTTAGATGACTAGATAATTCTGGGTCATGGAATGATAAAAGATGACCAAAAACAGCCAAATATTCTTTTATTATATGAGAATTGTCAACTAAGAAAAAATCTTTTAAAAATTTAGGAATAAATCTATTCAGACAACAGAATGCCAATGCCTCATCATTAAAATTTAAAGTCAAAAATGGTGCACAGAGTGAATCCATTCCTATCAAACAATTGTTTATTAAACAATGAATTAGAGTTGACAATAATAATAATTATTAGTATTAAAAATGTGTTTACCTTGCCAATATACTAATTTACTATTAGCAGTGATAAAACATTTTAAGAGTCTTCTAAGTTTTTCATGTCCAATAGGAGATGACAATAGTTGGTGATATTGATGACACCTTGGAACATCTAATGTTTGCAAAAAAATAAATAAAATAAATAAATCTCTTCACATACGACCAACATAAATAGGTTTATAAATAATATTTTTTATATTACCAACATCAATCTATTAAAATGATGATGATAATGATAATTTATTAGTTGTTTATATATAAATATTGAAAAATTTCCTAGAAAAATATTTTTTCATACTTGATGATCTCTTTCAGTTTCTTTATCATAAGCATCATATAAAGCCTGATAATCACCACGGATTCCTAAAATGGCAGCCCAAACTTTTCCACGTAAAAATGGTGGTATATCAACTTTTGCATGATGAATAATTTCATTACGTGAACTAGGATATTCTTTTAATAGTTCACTAAACAAAGCAACTCTTTGAAACTGATAACCAACATCTTTTTCACGAACAAGTAATGG